ATTTCCTCCTTTATGTTTGCGCTCTAATTGCTTGGAACATCCATACATTGGAGCTTCTATGGCTTGCTGGATGTTGTTAAGATATATTCTCCTACTTGCTTGCATGCTTGATATTAACTTTCTGTGGATCCTTCCTCACGAGTGGTTTGACAAACAATGTTCTCTGTGGAAACGTTATATTCTAGTCTAGATTTCCTTTTTAAACAATGTATCTATGGATGAGCTATATAATAGGAATTAGAATTATAAACCTTTTATGCCTTGGCATCATTTTCTGCCGTATGTCTATTATCGTTTGTACATTCTAATCTAGTCAAATGAACATAAAAAGTAGTAAATTACATGCGAATGTAGGTCTTATAGCTTTCTCTTTCTTCTAGTTCTGTATTATCCCGTTTTTAGCATCTTAGGTTCTGACACTAAAGTAATCTCCTTATGTTGTACATAACTTATTGTTTGTGGGTACAGCTTGTGGAGATGGTGTTGTCAGGATTTTCAGGTTGGATGACATCTCAAGTAAAAGTTTCAAGTACGGATCTCTACTTAATTTATCTCAACATAATTATTATAGATGTATCTTTATGATCGCCATTGATTGTATCTTTCCCAATTTACCTAGGTTTCTGAGAATTAACATGCCTGCTGGTGGTCATCCTAAAGCAGTGGTATTTGCCGATAACGCATCCTCTGTTGTAGTGGCTTCCCAGACACTTACTGGTGCATCTTTATATTTGTATGGGGAGGAAAAACCCAAGACAACTGAAGAACAGAAGCAGCAGGCCAAGCTTCCACTCCCTGAAATTAAATGGCAACACCATAAAGTTCACGATAAGAGGGCCATCCTCACTTTGGTAGGAACTAAGGCAACTTATGGCACTGCTGATGGAAGCACAATTATTGCTTCATGTTCTGAAGGTATTTTCTGATATTTATTCTCTGTCCTGTTATATCAAATAATTTGAAGATTTCTTAAAGAATCATCTATTTAGTGATGTATTTCCAATATTGTTGGTTACTTTCAGTTTTCCAGAGAGAAATTAAGAAGTTTTGATTATGCTCAATATGAATTTGTATCAAGTAGAGTGTATAAATCTGGGTCAATATGTCTATAGTAACCTCTCATGGTTCAGCATTTTCTTAATTTTCTTTCTTCTTTTTGATCCTGTGAAAATTTTACTTTTCCAGATGAACAGAATTAAGTAAATAATCAGCAATGATCATATCATACAGAAGTATGACTATAGGTGCTTTTGTTCTTTGTAGATTCACCAATCCAGCCATTCGTTAATTTCAATTTTTGTCCTGTTTTCTACTTTATCATTTACTATGTATTCATTATCAAAATCCTTTGAATCTATTGATTGTAGATCTATGGCTGGAATCAACATCTTTCAGTTCTATTGATGTCCATGGTTAATGACATATGTTTTAGTCAATTAGCTCCATGGCACTTATTTCTGACAAACCTAGTTAAGTTTTTGGTTTATGGTGGATTCCCATCATTTGAAAGTCCTTTAACTGCAAACATGGTATCCAACTAAAAGTTACTGGATAAAAATCAGTATGTTAAGTCAGTAATGGTTGCTGTGTTTAGTAGTGGTCTTGGTATTTCCCTCTATTACCTCATTAATTTGTCCTCTCACTTATTGTGGTTGAAGGTATTGAAATGCTTCAATTGTATGATGGCAGAACTAGCTCAGTTTTCCACATCCTTCTTTTGTTCCAAGGAAAAGATGAGATAAAAAATAAAGAATTTCAAATCCAATTACTTTTCTTTTGTCGTGAATTTTCTGTTACTTTTCAGGTACTGACATTATACTTTGGCATGGAAAAACTGGAAAGATATTGGGCAATGTAGATACAAATCAGCTCAAAAACACAATGGCCACCATATCTCCAAATGGGCGTTTTATCGCAGCCGCTGCTTTTACTGCTGATGTGAAGGTCAAAATTCATTCTTTTTTCGCATGTTCACTTAATTTAGACGACAAGTGCATTATATTCTGTTTCCATTTATAATCCCACATTAAAGGCTTTGAGTTTTGGTTGTAAGTTGTAAATTACTACGTGAGCGAGCGAGCTTGCCTGCATACTTCTGTGTGCTATGTTTCATGTTTCTGGTGTATCATTCTCCATCACGAGAATTAAAAACATGCAGTTACTAAGGAGTTACAATATCTTTTTGGATAGAAAGGCTTATAATAGCTCAATTTCATGGGGAAAATTGCACAAATTGAGACAAGATGGACTTAATCTTTTGAGAATTCCATTTCGTTGGGAACCTGGAATTTATCTTTATCTTTAGTTCTGAAGAAAATCTTTACTCTTTTTGAAATTATGCAATCATGTGTACTGGTCCTATGCAACATAAATATTTAAACAAACTGGTTATTGAACCTGGGTTTGGGGGCCTCTCCTTGTCCAAACTGCTTATGCTCTTGTGCATCATAGCTGAATGATTAGTGCCTCTGGACTGGCACAGATGATCGATTTTGGCATACCTTTTCTACACAATGTACACATGCTCTGTGATTTGGGAAGCTTGGTCTGAGGCTGCTATGGCCAAGATGCTGAAACTTGAAATCACTCAGTAGGCACCTTTTACAGAAGAAAGTAGAGAAGGAAATTCAACCCAAATGAAGAAAGGAAAGAAAAAAGATCTCCTAAAACTCCAAAAACCTTGTTTGTTTATAAAGACATGTGAAAAGTTAAGATCTCAAATCAAACCATCATTTTCACGACATAATTGGAATTGTGTAATTGAGATGCATGGATGAGAATGTGAAAGGACATGTGTCAGAAGTCCACAAATAGTTGTGGGGAACTTGTAGGAGAAGAATTAGGAGGGTTAAAGGGCATTAAAAACACGAACGATTAACATTCAAAAATGTTAATGTGGCTAATTTTTTTCCATTTTAACATTTGTGGAGCTTAGAAGGAGCAAAGTTATCTTGTTAGAAGGAACATGAATGGTTTATTGGGTTGTGCAAATGCATTTGCCATCCCTTCCATTTTATTTGTTAAGGCTATGCCTTCTTTTGTCAAGGATTTGTATCTTCTTCCCACATTTTGTAATTGACTCATAAATGCTTGGTTGTGTGGTTTCAGAATAAGAGTTATAACCTCAATTTTCTCCACGATAACATAATATTGGCATGTGCTTGGAAAATAATCTAGCCTTCATTGAAAGACAATTTGTTCATCTTCTCAAATTTGAAAGAATTATTTTGAATTTATTTTTCATGGTTTAAAAGGTGTTATTGAGGTGTGCCTTAGTATGAGGTGCTAGAAAATAGTACTGAAACAGAATTTCTTTGGCCAAAATGAGGCATACACCTTTAGTGATCAAGACATCCGCCTCTCTTAAATTGCCTTGGGTACCACTTTTCTTTAAAATTCTCATATTTCATTGGATATCTTCTATATATTTAAATAGCTTTTGGAATGTATTATAATTTAATAAAATTTACCTTTTCATTGATTATTAGCCATAAAATATGGGAACCCATTATATGTTAATAAAACCTAATCGATTTCTTTGATTACATAGTTATATGCCATTTATAATTTACTTTATAATTTCAAATACACAAACAATATAAACATACAACACACATTCTAAAACACACTGCGATCCTAGAACTTCATCACTCCCCTGATGGCAAGTTCCCTCCTGATCCAGACTTCACTTCGTCGTAGACTGGTGATTCTATACATGGTCTCAGTAGTAGTGATGAGTGATTATTTTTTGTTTGAGTTGCAACTTTATGATTTTATTAATTTATTTTGTGCTTGTTTGCTGTGATACTTCAAGCTAATCTATTATTTTTGGAATTTTACAGTTGTTTATTAACTTACATGCTTAATTTTATATTTTTGACTATTTTTTTCTGGTTCACTGTGAGGCTTATGCCTCAAAGTGCCTTGAGGCTTATGCCTCATCTAACGAAGGAAAACCACCTCAATACTCATTTTTGCCTTTTTAAACACCGAACATTGTTGTTGTAAGTTAGCTTAAGATCTGGTTATGAATAAATATACTTCTATTTACTTATATGGGATCTATTATGACAGGTTTGGGAAATTGTCTATTCAAAAGATGGCTCAGTGAAGGAGATTCTCAGAGTCATGCAGCTCAAAGGACACAAGGTTGAGTACGCTCATGCTCCATGACTTACTTTGCTCATCTTCTTTCCTGTTCTAACTTGTGTGTCATAGTTTAAATGTGCATGTGATGGTAGCCATATTGTGGAATAATGCATAGTAAAATATTTTAGCTAAGGTTGTCTCTTCCATCCTTATACCTTTAAGCATATTGGGGATTCATGACTCTTTTATCTACTTTTTGGAAATTGCATGAACGTCACTTTTGGGGGTTTTGGTTTATAATCTTAACTTCGATAGAGATAATTTATCAAAGCTTAAGTGTTAACCGACATTTTACTAACAATGGAAGTGGAAGAAATATTTGGTATTCAAGGAAATTGTTGGAAGCATCTTATCGGAGCTGAAGTTATGTTGGACTGGAATAGATTTTGTAAGCTCTGCCTTGAGATCCTAATTCAATGTTCTACACAGCGCACTTTGAATTGCGATGTATTAAGTTAGTTGAATAACTCTTGCTGCACCATGTCATTCTTTATCCTGTCTGTGACTTTTATAGCCCAAAGCCTTGAATATATGCGCACTGCTGAATTTTTCTCTTTTGTTTATTTGGTATTTCTGATGTTCAGAGTGCGGTGACTTGGCTGTGCTTTTCTCCAAATTCGGAACAAATCATCACTGCATCCAAGGATGGTTCGATAAGAATATGGAATATTAATGGTATGAGTAGCTCTCTTCTGTATTGTTATTTAAGTTATTTTTCCATTGAAGCTGAAGCTTTGAAAAGGAGAATTTTGGTTATTTTTCTCTTTTCCTCCGCTTGTTATCAATTCAAAATAAGGGTCTAATGATTTGACATTTTAACATCCAAATGGATTAGAACTGTGTATATGGGACCTACTCTCCACAAAAAATAAAAAGGACTGACCAATTGCTACAAATTGAGGGCTGAAGACGTGCTTTCTAGATTTCCAGAAGTTGGGGACTCCGGCCATAATTTTCTCATTAGGAACTTATTGTAGTTTACCTCGTGAAGAGCATTTCCGAAATGCCCTGCGTCACAAGCCTATAAATTTGTCTCTATTAAATGTCGAAATTTTGTAGTACATCAAGAAATGATGGAAACAACATAAAAACACTGGAAGAATGACCTTGCCAATTGACAATCAAACTGCCTGTTGAACCAATCTTGAAAACCTTGGTACTTATGATTAGTTATCTTTGTGGGCACTGTGAAAGAGATTCCCTTCAGAAGTCAATGGTGTCATCCTAAATTTTCCTTTTTTTTTTTCTGCTTTCTATTGGACTAGAATTATTACATTATACATTGTGGTAATCTTCTTTATTCATTTTCTTGAAGTTCGATATCATCTAGATGAGGACCCAAAGACTTTGAAGGTGTTGCCCATTCCACTCTCTGACTCAAATGGCACGACTTTACACTATGATCGTCTCTGTCTTTCCCCCGATGGAACGATATTGGCAGCAACTCATGGTTCAACACTGCAGTGGTTATGCGCCGAGACGGGGCAGGTTTTGGACATGGCTGACAGGGCCCACGATAGTAAGCCTATTTTCAAGAGTTCCAAGCTTTCTTTTTTCCTATTTACGCGTTTATATACCTTTCGGGCCACATCTAGATTCTTTATTTTATAGAAGTTATTAATCCGGAGCTTCATGGTTAACTAAGTCATCCCTGATAGCTTCTTCAACAATAACGTTTTTATATCTTTATATGAAGAAATGAAATTCTGGAGACAGTATTAATTCTTTGCTGCATAAAAGCTTGACTATCTTCATGACACATCACTGTATGGCACACTATAGTAGAGTTCGGAATCTAGTTAATATCATGATGCTATCTGGAGTTGTATTTATTTTTGTGTTTGGTCTGTGAATGAGTTTCATCCAAAAATCCGGGTAGTAGTGTACATTTGTACCACTAGTGTTGTAAAATCTGTCGATGCATCACTAGTTATCATATTCTACCCCTTTTGAAATTTCAGAATTTTGAATAGCACTAGTTTAGTTGTCTCCTCCTGGTATTTGTTGGATTGCAAATGAACTAGTTTTGAGGAACCAAGTTCTACCTTAGCTCATTTTCCAGTTTCAATAAAGAAAAGGATTAAAAAAAAATAAAAAATAAAAAATAAAATTGTCTTCATCTGGTTTTGTATCTGCAGAGATATATTCACTTCTGAAATCATCTTTATGCTAGTTATAAGAGGTTCAGTTTCCATATATGAATATTTGTTATAGAAGACGGAGGTTTTGCTCCTTAAGCGGACTGAGTGCAGAGCAACAATTTGTCATATGTTCAAAATGGTTCGTCTCAGATTTTGTTACCCAAGGCTGCCTAAAAATATTATACTGCACAACAGTTTGCCTTTGCTATTCTCTTAGAATTTTATAAAATAAATCTGTTATATCTGCTTTAGCAGATAAGACGAAAGACTTATAACTGTTATGGGCTAATCTTGTCCAACATTGTGATTATACAATCATAATTTAGTTTCTGACAATCAATTTTGGTTCTTCAGCATTGACCTTCAGATTATGATTATGTGAAATTCTTCTGCAACTATATAATGCAAGCAATGTATCATGCAGGTGAGATTACAGACTTGGCATGGGCACCTACAACCATTCCAATAGGTAAATTTTTCTGAATTTCAGGAGTACCATTTCCTGACTTCTGCTTCTTTATTTCAGCAACACTGTTGTTTCCTGATTTACTTACTCCAGTATCTCCATTTAATTTCTTGGGCTGCAGGCGGCACCCCAGACCACATT